GCAGCCATATTATCCTCTCTGGGGATGTGGTTTATCTGGAAGTAGTGGAATTTTGTGATCATGTTTCTAGCCATGCTGAGATATTCTTGCATTTTGGCTCCTTTGGCTTCGAACTCGCCCCTGACTTGATTGACTATCAGCTGAGAGTCACTGTAGGTGGCAAGGTGTTGAACCTCCATTTCCATCGCTAATCTTAATCCAGAAAGGAGGGCTTCGTATTCCGCCTCATTATTGGAAGCATAAAAGTGGAGCTTCATCGCATATCTGAGAGTGGTGCCATCTGGGCTGATCAAGATTAAGCCCGCTCCTCCTCCTTCACTAGTCGAGGAGCCATCTACATAGAGTTTCCAAAGCAGATGAGTGGAGAATTTGGAATTTGAAGTGGAAGACCGGGGAGGTGTAGCCTGTGATGCCTGGGCATCCGGAGGTGAAGCTTGTGGTGCCTGGGCATCCAGAGGTGCAGCCTGTGGTGCAGGAGTTAGAGGTGCAGCCCGGGATGCCTGGTCATCAGAAAAAGTTGTTTGGGCTCCTGGGGAGGAGACTTGGGCGCCTGCTTGAGGGTCTTTGTTAGGCTTCTTGATGTCTCCGTTGGGCATTTGGGGATCCTCATCGTTCCCATCTTCTGTTGGTGTGAGTTCAGCTACGAAATCTGCTAGGGCTTGTGCTTTGATGGCCGTCCTAGGTTGGTACTGAATGTCGAATTCCCCGAGTTCTACTGCCCATTTAAGAAGTCTGCCAGATACGTCCGGCTTTCCCAAGATTCTTTTAAGAGGTTGGTCGGTGATGACCACCATACGATGGCCCTGGAAGTAGTGTCGCAGCCGTCTCGCTGTCGTGACCAGAGCGAGTGCCAGTTTTTCTAGTGCTGAATATCTGACCTCTGCCCCCCGGTATGCCCTGCTCACGTAATAAACTGGTTTCTGCACTCCATTGTTGTTTCTAACGAGCACTGAGCTTACCGCTGATGGGGAAGCAGAAAGGTATAGATGGAGAGTTTCTCCAGGGGTAGCATGTGACAGGAGGGGAGGTGCTGCTAGGTAGGCTTTGAGCCTTTGAAAAGCCTCCTCTGCCTCAGGTTTCCACTCAAAGGCTTTTCGGAGAGTTTTGAAAAAAGGGAGACATTTGTCTGCAGATTTGGAGACAAACCTATTTAATGCTGCGATTCTTCCATTGAGGCGCTGGAGCTCCTTGGTTGAGGAGGGTGACTTCATGTCAAGAATGGCCTTGATCTTGTCAGGGTTCGCCTCAATTCCCCTCTGATTGACCATAAAGCCCAGGAATTTACCAGACCCCACACCAAAGGCGCACTTCTCAGGGTTGAGCTTCATGTGATAGGACCTCAGGACGTTGAAAGTTTTTTGGAGGTGATCGATGTGGTCTACTGCTGCAAGGCTCTTTACCAGCATGTCATCCACGTACACCTCCATTGTTTGCCCGATCTGAGACTGGAACATCTTGTTCACCAGCCGTTGGTAGGTTGCCCCAGCGTTCTTTAGCCCAAAGGGCATGACCCTGTAGCAGTATGTCCCCTTTGGCGTGATGAATGATGTCTTCTCTTGGTCTGGGGGATGCATGCTAATCTGGTTGTACCCCGAGTATGCATCCAGGAAAGTGAGCAACTCATGTCCAGCGGTGGCGTCGATGAGGAGGTCAATCCGCGGCAGTGGATAACTATCTTTTGGGCATGCCTTGTTTAGTTCTGTGAAGTCGACACAGAGGCGCCACTTCCCATTAGCCTTAGTAACCATTACTACGTTGGAGAGCCACTCCGGATACGCCACTTCCCTGACTGCCCCGTTATCAATCAGCTTTCTAACCTCCTTGTCCATGGCTTGGGCCCTTTCAGTGGAGGTTCCCCTTAACTTTTGGCGAACAGGCTTGTACAGTGGATCGACATTGAGGCGGTGGGTAGCTACTTCCGGGTCGATGCCCTCAAGGTCCTCATGCGACCAAGCAAAGATGTCCATATTACGCTTCAAAAAATCAATCAACAGGGGAGCCAGCTCTTCAGAAAGGGAAGAGCCAATGTAAATTCTTCTGTCTGGGTGCTCCTTTTCTAAAACCACAGGGATGAGTTCCTCGACTGGTTCTCCTCTTTCTGTTGCGGAGTCATCCCTTGGGTCAAGGACCTCAACCTGCAATGCTTCTTGGGGCTTCCTAGCCTTCATAGAGGATACATAGCACTCTCTGGCTGTTATTTGGTCCCCTTTGACCTCTCCGACTCCATTTGAGGTTGGAAAGCGGAGAACGAGATGGTAGGTAGAGGGCACAGCTCTTAATGTGTTAAGAGCTGGCCGCCCTAATATGATGTTGTAGGCTGACGGGCACTCTATTACCAGGAAGTTGACCATGACTGTGGAGCTTCGGGGTGTTACTCCGGCGGTGACGGGAAGTGTGATGGATCCAAGGGGATACACTTTTTCCCCTGAGAATCCAATGAGGGGTGACCTGATTGGCTGTAGCCTCTCCCTGCCCAGGTTGAGCTTGTCATAGGCCTCTGCAAACAGGATATCCGCAGAGCTGCCACTATCCACCAGGATCCTGTGCACATGAAAATTGGCCACCGTCATGGTGAGCACCAAGGGGTCGTCATGGGGGTGTTGGATTTCCTCCAGGTCCTTGTCTGAAAAAGATATGACCACGTCGCCTTCCTGCTTCGGCACCTTAGATGGGCGCATCTCGTAGACATGTCTTGCCTTCCTGGCATGGGCCTTCATCGCGGAAAGTGATTCTCCCCCACCTGCTAGTCCCCCTGAGATGGTGTGGATTTCCCCCACTGGCTGCTGATCTTCCTGGTTGTGAGGTTGTGGTGCTCGTTCCCTTCCAGCAACGTACTGGCGTAAGTGACCACGCTGGATGAGCCCCTCAATTTGCCTCTTGAGGTCGTAGCAATCGTCGGTGTCATGCCCGTGGTCACGATGGAAGCGGCAATACTTGTTAGGATTTCTGCGATTTGGAGGAGACTTCATTTTTCCAGGCCACTTTATCGCGGGGTCATCCTGGATCTGGAATAGGATGTGTTCCACGGAAGCATTGAGGGGAGTGAAGGGTTGACGGTTCCTCTGAGGAGCAGGACCTAGCCGGTCCTTGACAGGGACTTTCTCTGTCCTGCCATGTTTGTTGCTGGTCCCCTTCTTATCGTCCCTCTCCCTTTCCTTCCTTTTATCCCCTGCTCTGGAAGACTCACCCCGCCTGGCCCTTGTGATGTCTTCTGCGTTTATGTACTTTTGGGCCTTGGCTAGCAGCTCTGGCATGCTCTTCGGTGGACGCTTCAGAACTGAGAAAAGGAAGCTTGATGAACGGAGGCCACCCAAGAAGGCGGTCATCGTCACCTTGTCGTCGGGTTCATCAACTTGGAGTACCTCCTCGTTAAAACGAGTGAGGTAACTCCTCAGGCTCTCCTCGCGGTCCTGCTTTATACTAAGCAGGTGCGTAACTGGCTTCTGGTGGCGACGCCCTCCAATGAAGTGTGAGACGAATGATCTGCTAAGCTCGGCGAAAGAGGCAATAGAGGCGGGGGAGAGCTTAGCAAACCACTGTCGGGCAGACCCCTTTAACGTGGTTGGGAATGCCCTGCACATGATTTCGTCTGGTACGTTGTGCAATTGCATCAAGGTCTTGTAAGTGTCGAGGTGGTCCAGTGGATCCTTTGTTCCATCAAAGGTCTCCACAGATGGCATTTTGAACTTCTGAGGAAGGGGGTAGTTTGCTACATCAGGTTTGAAAGGCGTATCAGTACGCCTTACCAGGTGGTCAACAGTCTCGGGTCCCTGTGCCTTCATGGCGTTGAAGACATCACCGAGTTGATTCTGTACCTCCTTTATCTTTTCGTCCCAATGATTGGGGGCTCCTCTGGAATGATCATGGAAGTGGCTTCCATGCTCCATGCTTTGGTTTTCACCCTCATCCTCCTGGAGATAAGGGTCCTCTCCCTGGGAAGCAAGGGGAGGGGGAGGTGGAGCTCCCTCATGTTGGGCTTCCCGAAGTGGGGTGCCCAATGGGCGCCCGGGCATTGAGCAACAGGGCGTGGTGCTCCTTGATGTCCAGGACGTGGAGCTCCTTGGGGTGCTCTATGTTGTGCACCTCCGTGGGGCCTCCATGTTGTGCACCTCCGTGTGGTGCTCCTCCTTGTCCAGCAAGTATGAGTTGCAGTAACTGTTGGTTTTGAGCAACCAGTTGCTGCATGGTCTCCAATATTTGCTGGGGATTCGGGGCTAGAGTATCCGGAACAGGGTTGATAGGCGGGGGAGCAACCTCCTCCTCTCGTGGAGGATTGTCTTCATGTTGGTTCATGGATCGAGTAGTGATCGCCATTAGTTAATGGATGTAATGTTCAGGAGTGAGAATTTTATCGAATTCCCACAGACGGTGCCAAACTGATGATGCACAAAAATGGTTTTGCACACCACCTGTCAAGTGTAGGTAATAAATGCAGTGAAATCAATGAAAAAATTAAAGAAGACACGATTTATAGTGGTTCGGTCAATTCGACCTACGTCCACTCTTCAATGGCTTCAGTTGCCGGGTATTTTATTAATTCAGAGGTATGGAGAATAGAGATACAAGCTTTGAGAGAATGGAGAATCAAAGAAGGAGTGGTCTCCGGTCGTCGGTCTGTCCTCTGTAAGTGTTGGTGGGGCGTGACCTTCTTTTTTCGTCTCCTCCAGATTGTGGCTACTTTATAGCAGCTAAGAGATCATTCTTGTGGAGATCATGACTTATCCTCAAGGCTACTTTATCGCAGCTAAGAGATCATTCTGGTGGAGATCATGACTTATCCTCAACGGAAGGAGGAGGTTGGGGAGCTCTTCATGAAACGTGGTCAAAGCTTGGACCGTTTCCTTCAGTGGTGCAGATAAGCTTCTCATGCTCTCCTCTTGATGACGTGCTAAGCAAAAAGTCTAACCGGTCTTGGACTGTTTTGGGCTTGGTAGATTCAAAATGAGGTTGGGCTCCTCAACTGGAGTTGGACTTTAACACATGAATTGGACTATTTGGGCTTAACCCATCAATATCGATGAATTGAGCAATGAGGATCCTAAAGCATATACCTTCTTACGATGAGCACTCTTATCCTCTAAATCTGTTTGATACTCGATTGTCTTCCCTCGCCTCTTGTCTCCCACCTCCACCTCAAAAATGCCACAATTAGCTACTAGAATAGAGCCTATGGATTTGCGATTCCACTTTCCCTTTCCTTTGTTGACCACCACTTTCGCCCTAATCACTTCTAGAACCTCTTTAGATGACGAAGGTTCCTCCCCAATTGGGATGGTATCGCCTGTGTTTTTGATATCTGTTATTGGACTAAGAAAAAGGCCTAATTGCTTAACTAGCTCAGAGAAGCCCAAATGAATGTAGGATAGTCCAAAGTTAGGCCCACCTCATATAGATTCCAACCTTTAGAATGTTTGTTAATATTGTTATCTGATTATCCCCTTCCTGCCTTTCCACATTCAAACCAGCTATCGTATTCTTGTTAGGACTCTATAATGAAATCTTCTCCTCTGGAGCCGCATCCTTATATTTAGCCGAAGATGATAATAAATCCCTTTGATTGGTCACCATAATTATCGGGTTAGGCTTGGGACCTGGCTTCCATGATGGATGCCTAAGATCTTGCTCTAGATCTAACACCAGAGCAAAGGCCATCAGAACATTTTCGGTAATACAAAATTGTTCCTGATCCTAGAGATTAGTTTGGACTTTGAGGTTGATGCATTTAACCGTGAACCATATTGATTCTCCTTCCTCCCACCATCATCTAACTTTATTGTCGATATTGAGCATTGTTTTTTAGTATGTCCCAACCTTCCATAGCAAAAGTGATTCTACCTATTTTGTGTGTTGATTTATATTATGCACCAAAGTATAAGTGGTCAAATTGTAGTTTTTTGGGTTTAAGTCTAAGATCGATTCCATGAAGAGTTTTAATAATTGAAATTTAAAATAAGAACAGTGAAGTTATTGCTAAAGCAATGTAACATGAGATAACTTATGATGTAAACTTAGATTGATAACTACACTACAAGAATTAAGGCATTTTGAGGTGAATTTTTTGTGACAGTAAGATTTGCCGCCACAAAAAAGTCATTTTTTTTCGTAATCTTTTTCGCGGCATTTAGATTGCCGTCATAAATGATAAATTTTGCATTATAATTTTGTAAAATCCCGTACTATAATTAAATAATTATTATTTCTCTTAGGATGAATAAAATGATTGTAGAAACCTTGAATCATTGTTAAAAGATAGATTATGAAGTTTGAGTTTCGGACGAATTGACTTTCGAGACAAACTTAGTTTTGAAGGTGTTTAACCTTGAGAATAGTGATTAGTTAGGTTTCTAACTATTTTTAGGTCAAAATAAGGTTTTCATTGAATCCAAAAGGTCGAGAAAACTTGGAAGAGGTAATATGAGGTGTATTAGAAGTTAGAAAGTATTTCGAAGTTAAACTGTATTTTAGAAAAGAATTGGGTAAGAATGAATTTGACACTACCTTAGTATTTTAGCCATACCTTTTTAATCTGAACTCAAATGAATCTGATATTTGGAGAGTAGAAACTAGACTTTAAGGGCTACAAAAGTATGTTTCACGAAAATTTCCTGAATCGACTTCTAATAGGTGAAAACTACTCTTAATTTGGGACAAAATATTGTCTACGTCCGGACGCTCCAAGCACTGTCCGAATGGTATTCCTTACCCAAAAACTTTATTTTTATAAAAAAAAAAAAAAAAACAATGACTTTGAACCGTCCAGACACCCAAGGACCGTTTGGACGCTACGCTCAAAATGGTCCCGATCATTTTTAGGGTTTTTCTCCGTTTTTTACCCTATAAATACCATAAGGACGTCCTTTTAACCATATTTCATCAGTTTTCAACTCTAAACAACCTTAGAGAGCAAGAGGGAAGAATAGAAACATAAGATTGAAAGGGGATTCTCACGTTGGAAACGAATGAAACACGCTAGGTTTACACACAATTACAGAATCAAGGTGGAGGATTCTTCTTGAGTTCTTTCATTGAGACTTAGGGTATTATATATGTATGTTTTCAATTCTCTTGATAATTATACGATAAATATGTATGAATTCTTGATTTGTGGTTTCATCTCTTGTATGGTTTGGGTGAATGAACTTGAATTACCTTCGAGAGCTGTCGTAGAATGTTTTAATTCCTTTATTAACTAAGTTATTTGTTGAATGTTTTAATTTATAACATGCTTATTCCTTTCATTGATTATTGTATTCCATACACTTGAGATCATTACAACCGTCATGGTTTTATTCTTAAAAATCTTTATATGCTATTTTTCAAAAGAGACTTGTCATATTTTATTGTTTTAAACCTTGTTGGGATTTGAGAGGGATTTCCTACAAGCTTTTGCTCCCCCCACAACACACTTACAGATTTTGGCATAGAAGATTATGTCAATGTTGATGAGCAACTTGATTACGAGCCGTTGGAGGTTCAAGCTGTGGATCATACCTTAGAGGGATAGAGTTGATCTACTTTTGGTTTAGAGTTTGAGAGATTTTTATAAAATAATATTTTAGCTAGTTTTTATTATTCTGCTGCTAGATATTCTTGGTTTTGAATTGTAAGTTGAAGAAGTTTCAATGTTTTTATTGGTTTTAGTATTTATTCCTTGTCAAATGGATGAATGGTTTATTACTTAATGATTATTTTTAATTGCTCTCATGGTTGTAGGTTTGTAGATAGTAATGCCTTTCAAGATGGATTTTAAGGTATTACACATTTTTCTATCATTAGCTCTCTCTATTTATAAAAAATATCAAGCACTTAAGATAATTTCACAAAAAAATTAAAGAATTTATCAAAAACCAAAAATGGCAACTAATAGAGTCATCAAGAAAGACTCCTAACAATTAAAACTATCAAGAAAAACTCCTAATTTATAAATAACACCAATTCTATAAAGGCTACATCCCATTTTTTTTATTTGTGATAGAATTAAAATCGAAATGGAATAGGATACTAGGTTCCTTCCCTCAACCATTCAAACCGGGCAACTGATGAAAACTCAAGGCGGTTCAAACAAAAAACTATAGGAAAATTTTAGTCGCACCCCTTCTAATTTATTATTTCTTCATGGACACCCTCTCTATTATCAAAAACATCACTAACACCCCATTTAGTTTATATTTAAACATCATTAACACCTCATACCATTAAAATTCGTGTCAATTAAAATTCGATTCATTCAAATTTGAGTCAATTAAAATTTGGGCCAAATAAAATTCAATACGAGTTAATTAGAATTTGATTTGAGTCAATTACAAATGATTTTTAATTGTCTCGAATATAATGTTAAGCAACCCAAATTGTAATACATAAAAAAAATAATTTTTAATCGACTCAATTTTAATATGTAAAAAACAATTAATTAGTTTGAATCGAAGTTTAATCAGCCCAAACTTTAATATGGAAAAAAATAGAAAATATAGGGGTCTCTTAAAGATATGCTTATTTAGAGGAGGTGTGGATGAAGTTCGTCCTCAAATATATTATGGGAAATTTAGTAAAATTACATTCTAGTTAATTTTTTTTAATCTAACGGGGTGTTAGTGAAGATTCAGAAAATAGAGAGATTGTATTTGAAGGTATGGTAAATTAGAGGGGACGTGGTTGAAATTTTTCCAAAATTATAACAACCACGTCTGTTGCAACCAGGTCAGCGCCTCCGCATCTCTCTGAGCACTGGACGACTGAAACTCCTCCATCCTCAAGCACTCAATCATCGTTGAAGACCACCATCGTTGAAGATTTACTTTACTAACTAAGACGTGGGTTCTACATTGTGATTTTATTCGTTCACTTGACCCAGTAAGTACATCTCTCTCTCTTTGCAATTTAGGAGGAGTTAGTTGATAATTGATATTGTATAAATTTTGGTCTATTTCAATTGATTCAATTGAAAAAGTTGATCTCTCAGGTACGCAAGAAACAAAATATCTTCTCTTCTCTAAATTTACTTACCTCTATTTCTTGCTTTGTTCTCTGCTCTATTTCATCAAATCCTAGGGCTGGTTTTAGATGATTTTAAGTTGATTATTAAGTAATTACCTAACACAATTCTATGACATACTTTAGATTTGAGGTTTTTTTTTTTTTTGCGGTTCCTCTATTCATTTCTCTGCTTGATGCTCAGGGTTTTCTTTGTTGCTTTTTGTGAATATATGTGGTTGTTGATTTGATCTTCTTTTTTTTTCAAACTTGATTCATATGAATCGTATTAAATTGATGTAAGAATAAAAATTCAGCATCATTCACTATCAATGGAAGCAGTTTTATACCAATATAAAGATATCAAATCAGATAAAAGAGTAAAATCTCTCGGTAGCTTCTTAATCTTACACAAAAAAAATCATATTTAAAGAGCTTTAATCTAACCAATAGGGTTTTAGAATCTGAAAATCAATGGTGGTCATAGAACTCTCACTGTTTCTTCCAAAACCTGAAATTATTTAAAAATAACTTGTGCCTTTACTTTATTTAGAAATTGAAAGTTCTTATGTTTAGAGAATTCGTGATGCCCTTGTTATGTATGATGACATTCATAAGTTTTGCCAAAAATAAAGTAAAGTAAGCGGAAAAAGGAAAAAGAAAAAGAAAGATGAACATTTTTATTTATTTCATTTTTTGTAATTTCCAATAGAGGTGAAATTTTGATTTATTTAGAGAAAAAAATGTTTTCTAAGCTGTGTTTCCATTCTGTTAGTGTGTTATCCGGAGGATGTGATTCATATGGGTATCCATATGATTCAAGTTTATAAAATTTTGTGGAAAATATGTTAAATGGTGTGTTTCACACAATGCATTCCATGATTATTTACGTTGTGATGATCTTCCTCAACTTTTTTTATTTTTTTTTTATTTTCGTGGGTATTTACATGAATAATGGTTCTCATAAGCTAAAGTTTTGTTCTTCAATTGAGGTTAGTTAAAATATGGACAAGAGTTGGATTGTTTTACCAGATAGAGTTTCAATAGAATACATGAATGGGTTGATCAATTCCTCAATTTTGCGCATAGTAATAAGGCAGAAGGTTCAACAATCAATTGCCCTTGTAAAAAATGTGCAAATCGCTTCTTTTTTGCACAAGAGATTGTGCATAACCATTTGGGTAACCATGGCTTCTTAAAGAAGTATAAGAATTGGATTGATCATGGGGAACCCTACATGTCTTTGTATGGTACCAGGAAAATGAAAGTTATGTTGATTTAGATGTCGGGGACAATATGGTCGAAATGATACATGAGGCGATAGGATTGCAAATGTAGGTGAAAATGCTGATTATGATGAACCACCTACAAATAGTCTCCAGTCAGGGGCTAATGAAGAAACAAGAAAGTATTTTAAACTTCTAGAGGAAGCAGAAAGTGAATTGTATTCGGGATGTAAAAAGTTTGCGACATTGTCATTTATCGTTCAACTTCTACATATGAAAGTGCTTAATGGATGGACAGATAAGTCTGCTGTGATGTTGCTTTAGTTTTGTTTGAGTTTTTGCCTAAGGGAGCAAAACCTCCTAATTCATACTATGAAGTCAGAAAGGTAACTGATGACTTGGGCTTTACATATAAGACGTGGAATGCATGCCCTAACAGTTTTATGTTGTTCAGAA